AGATAAATGCGAATTCCACCAAATTAAATTTGTTTATAGGCAAAAAATATGATCAAATTTACTATTAAACTTGGCAATGCTCAAGCAAGACTGCTTTTGTAATGAAGTAAACATCTACTCCGTTTCGCTGGCCTCTGGGCAATACCCAAGTGCTAACATTGCAATTTGACATTGACGACCAAGCGTTATGTTGCGTTAAAATGTATTGATAATACATAGGCGAATTCTAAGAAGCCATCCACCTTGGATACCTTTCTTTATCGGAATGAAGTCTTCTTTTTAATTAATTTTTCCAACCAAGCCATTTTGCCCTTTTCTCAACTAAAAATAGCTGAGGTGAAATCTAGCGAGTTTCGAATTTTTTATTAGTGGTAAAAATAAAAATTTATTTGAGCAATTGACGAACTAAGACTAGATTTTCGTTTAGTTAAAAATTTTAATATGCCATAAAGTTTATGAAATTAGTAAAGTTCGAAATTATACAAAAATATCGGCAAAAATCATTCCCTCATATACAAAAACTTAATGAGTGCAAGCAGGATAGAGGATAAGCGGGCAAGAGGCTATTGCAATGTAACGTAATGCTGGAGAGAAAAATGAAAGGTAAATTACTGAAGAAAAATTTTATAGAATTTATCAACGAAAAATATCAAAATTTAGTAAAAAAAGGCTTTAAAAGGATAAACAAAAGAGATTTACCAGGAGAAAGGCCGACGAAATAGGTGTAGCCTTCAAGGTTAGTGATTTTGTTCTTACGATAGTCGTCCCCAATAACGGACAATAATACACCTGATAATGAATAAGGGAATAAAAGAGAAATAGGAATACAAGTCATTGTAGTATGTATTTAAAAAGATATTACGGAACTCGCATTTTAGTGAATGTCACTTGGAGATATAAAAAGTTCTTAAGCATCTGTCTAGGTTACTGTAATGCATAAATGCCTACTCCAAAGAGACTATCGTTAAAACCACTAAATAACCGCCACAATCACTGCTAAATGGATAAAGATTTCAAGGGGCAGATGACATTTCAAAGCAAGCCACACATCTTTGAAACGGGACTTATAGTAGGATTGTTGAAGTTGTCGATGTGATCTTAACACAGTCTTATTGGCCTACTGCT